TTTTTAATGCAGGCAAATATTTTCTTTAATTAATTAGACACAAAGTTTTGGAGATTAAAATACGTGGCTGCATTTAGGATTGGCTAATTAAAAAGATATGTGTTGCTTTATGTTATTGTTTATGTGTTAGGGTCATACAGCATGAAAGAGAGAGAGATAAGTATCTTTTAACTTTATTTCTTAAATGTCGATTATAATTGATATTTATAACTAAAATTTATGCCTAAAGGTAGGACCTACAATTATGTGTTTAAAAAAAGTACTGCTAACATTTATGCCTACAGATAGGAAGAATAAATGTGTGTTTAAAAATATTGTTAACGTTAATGCCTACTGATAGGAACAACAAGAATCTGTTGAAAAGAAAATCTAACATTTATCCCTACAGATAGGACCTACAAAAATATGTTGAAGAAGCGCAGGTGTAAGAACAATGTTATGGAAGAGGGGTTTTCCCCGAATGATATTCTTAGAGTTGGGGACGGTATTGGTTGGTTCTATTCATTAATATGATATTGCTTTTTTCGTATGATTGTCTGTAGTGTTTACTATGTGGCTTTCGGGAGATGAATTGTAATAGACTTTAGATATTTAGACTATTTGTATTATTGGCGTAGAAAGGGATAGATCCCTCACTCCACATCTCAATATAAAGGTAAAAAATAAAATCAAGTTAAAACCGCCTACCCCGCCCCATCTTTCATAAGCCAGTATTTAAAAACTACTTCATTTTTCAAAAGGATTTATTTCTTTTACAATTCTAAAAAGAACATGTCTTTATTAGATTTTGTTAAAATGTACGTAAAATGTAATTATTATTTACATTTGTAAAGTATAAAGTAGGAAATTATTGTCATATTTCATTTTTTTTCCTTCCTTTTAAAAATAAATATAATATTTAAATTCAAAATGGTAAATTCTTACATTTTCATCAAATTGTTTGCCATACTATTACACCATGCATAACGCATCTTGAAATGTAATATCGCGAGACGAGGAAGTTAATTAAAAAGTTGTTCACTATTCGTATGAAATGTCATTGCAAACACACAAAAAGAATTAGTCATAAGAGAAGATCTGAAGCGATTCATAATTAAATTAAAACATATTATCCAATTGACCTGTAAGTACATTGTTAATCATTTCTAACTGAAGTGGACAGTTATTAAAAACAATTGAAATCAGCTATTTTCTCAACTCTATTTCCGACAGCAAGAAACATAAAAATCAGTTGTAGGGCAATACGAATAAATGTATGTATCAATTATAAATCAGACTTTTTTATCTCAGATTTATCTCATGCTTTGTATCTTAAATTAGTTTAAATATTTAGTTTTTTCACTCAGGTTAATACAATAATTTGTCAGGAGAATTTAACTTTAATAATCTGCACAAGATTATTCTTAATGACACAGAAAACAATATTACTTAACCGCTAAAAAATATATATACACAACATTTTAAGCACATTATATTGTAAATAGATTTCATATAAACATATTTATTTTTTAAAAGATTTCAATAAAAGCAGATTTCATTTGAAACAGATTCCATTCTTAACATGAGGAAACTGAGACGTTGCAAATTTTTAACATTAAGTTCATTTTAACTTTTTAAGAAAATTTGTTGTCAATTACTAATTTTCTTATGAGAGTTTTACCTCAATTAACGTGTACTTATTTTTTTTTTTGTAGATCACAACTACAGATATATGATGATAAAATTATCATGACATTAATATGTTCATGGTATTTTTTCATTGTGCTACAGTCCGTTATCTACATGTCTGTACGATGTAAGTTGATGTACTCACCAAAACTTTTTCTTTTCATTCGTATCACTATATAAAAGAGAAGACAATCTGATATATCCTTTTTGTTGAATAGTATTACATTTGGTGAAGTGTTTGTTAAATAAATCCAGCTGGTGTCAAATACCTTTATTTTTAATTCATTAACTATTAAATTTCATGCATTTAAAGTTGTTTATTTCTTTAAATTGAGTGTCAGTTTTATTAATATTCGTTATATTTTTGTGTTCTTGCAATCGCGTAATTTTAAAAGCAAAATATGTAATTTAACATGTTTTTGGGGCATTTTAAGATAAATAATGTATTTGAATCAATTGTCCATGACAGCATGTACTACATCAGGCGGTTTCAACAATTGGTTTGGTGCCGACTGCCAGTACAAATGTCACTGTAAGAATGATGCAGCTTGTGATGTTACCAATGGTGCCTATCCTAATGGATGTGATATTGGATGGTTTGGTCCAGCTTGTCAGTATGGTAGGTTTATTATTAATAAGCACTTAAAGTAAAACATTTAAAACCCTAGATTTGGACTATACCCCGCTCAAACATGTCTACACTCTCACACATTCTCTTTCAAACTAACTCACCAGACAATTATCATTTCCTTATTATCAACATATCAACCCATTTTTCTCCCTTTTTAAACTTTTTAATATCTTGTTTTTCTGACTTTAACTCATAATACTCATCATAAATCCATCCCATAAGCCACCTTTATCTTAACGTTATATCTTCATTCACCCCTCCGTCCATTGTATTTTCAATGTCTCCGTGTTCCTTATCTCTTTTACTCAAATCCTTTTGTCAACTCTTATAATCTTTACACCGTATCTTACTGCACACTTTATAATTAAGAAGAAATTTTACAGAATGAATATGAGCATTTTATTCCCAATTGGTATATCTAATAAAATCCTGACTGCATATTATTAATAATGACCAAAGCATAAAGTAATTGTAAGACCATTGAATTATTCAAATTTTCATAAATGTAAACGAAAAACAAAAGCCAACATTTTCTTCATATACTTTAAAGAAACATTTAAACTTACCAATTGAGATTCGTAGTAAACATGTTGTGATTACATCTGATTTTAATATCTATATTCTATGAGAGTTACAGGACTATTTTTTTTTAATAATTTCCTCCCTCATCCTACCTCGGCCTAGATGCTCTTCCATTCACAAGTTACCAGACTTCAAACCTTTTAAATTTATTTCCATTCATTTATTGTCCCTCATCATGTGGTAAACGTGTAACGTGTGGCAGTAAAAGCGGATATGTTGATTTCATTTGCTTACATTTAGAAACAATTAAGTGAGAAAGATGAGAACATAACATCTTTATTGGAGCCATGGTTTTAATTGTACTCTTAACATTATACAACTGTTAAAACTTTAGATGGCTTTTTTACTTTTCTTTTTTTTTTCCTCTATCTTAATTTGATTTTTATTAGGATTTTTTTTATGGGGTTGTACAAGATTTACTACCTCTTATATCTGTTTTCACGAGTACATGTAAAAAGATGTGTCTTCAAATACATTGATGCAAAGTAATAAGGCAGACTTTGTGTTCACTTGTGGATTAGTCAGATGATTCGGTCTTGTAATTAATGAGAAAAAATTGAATACAAGCGTGTTTGCTGCAGCTTTCTTCTAACTATTGTTCTCAAGTAATGAGGGTTAATTTATACAATTCAATTTTGAAATGAAATACCTAAAGCAAATTAAGGAAAGGACATCAGACTTCCACACAACTAAAAATATTACTAACGGATTTCGGTGTGTGAGTTATCTCTTTAGACATTTGAAAGTTTGCAGTTGAATAGCATTCCTCACACTTTTCTAGTTTGATGGCGTGATTATATGGTCTCATCATTATCTTTCTTGCGAGACCGAGAACTTGTGACTTCTGGTCATCTTTTCCGAGTGATTAAAACATTTGGATCGTGATATTTGTATTATTTATATTTGCAAGAGGTCAGATCTCATTCAAATATGTCCCTTTGTGGACTTTTAATTCGCTGACTTTTCCTACAGAACCGTGGAGAGTATGTTTGTAAATATGGGGAGTTCCAGTGGTAACATTAAATATTTCATATATTATTTTAGCACGTTTTCAAATAATGATGATGAATGTCACAATTCATTGATTGATTTTTTCACCGTGGAAAGAGATATCCTAAAAAATAAGGTATATTTTATCGTTGAAGCATATAGTGTATGTGTAAGATGTTTGAGTTTTCTCTCAATTTTGTTCTTGCAAATTCTTATTGTATTAATGTGTTGTTTTTCTCTTAGGACGTTGGTTATTTGGAATAAATTTGGAAAATGTTTGTCTTTTATAGATGGTTTCCTTTAGTGGAGTGAAGAGTTGCATTTATTGCCACGAGTAATACTTGGATCCGTGAGGTCAAAGGAAAGTGTTTGGGGTGAGAAAGGTTTAATGAGATGGTGCAATATGTTTGTGTTCCGTCAGGAATTCCCCGAGACACAACTTACACTTCATTAATCAGAAGAATAACTCACCGAGGTACGGCCCTTGTACGGCCCTTTCCTTGTATTATTTATCTCATCTACTTATGTTCTGTCACATTATTCTTGCTGTCCACTCGAATGTACGTTTAAAGCTAAATGCTTTGTTTTTAAATGTTTGTTTTTTTCTGTTGTGTGTTTGCTGATGAAGGCTTCTTACCGACACGTTCGTTGTTTTGTTGCGTTTTTTTTTCAGGTTTTCCCCAAATGTTGTTTCCCTCAGTTCATAAAATGTATCAGTACGTTATTAATATCCGAATTGTTTAGTATAATTTTTTTTTTAAATTTTACTTCCTTTAAAGTAACTGTTTGTTTCTTAATGCCATGTTACTTCTGTTTACTTCCTGAAAGTGCTTTTTAGTAGAGCATGGGGGGACAACGTGACGGGACATCATTGTGGAACCATTATTCTAATACAAAAAAGTATATTTCTAAATATTGTCACAATTTATTGTTTTATCTATTTAGATTTTTTTTAACAACTTCAAAATGCTACTAAGCTCGACTGTATTTAACACATATTTTTATATGATTTAAAGTGCAAACTTTTCATAACAGGCAGATACAATGTATTTCAGCTCATTTAGCTAGCACTTCACAACTTACACTTACCGGCGGGACATTGCAAGATACTACAAAGATTACAGATGGAGATGATACAACGTGTACATCTCTTACAGGTTCTAGTTTCTCCCTTGATGTCACATGGGCTTCTGAGATCTACTTCACTTGGTTGAGGATTATAGTCGGCAATGGTGGTAATTGAATTTATTTTTATACCTTCGATTAATTTTTAAGTTCTCATTATCTTGCTTATTATTTATTGAGTTACTTATTTTAATGTTTTTAATTGTATATTTTCATGGACAATAAAGTCACTTATAATAAATTATTTTTTCTGTCCTGCATGTTTAGAATTACAAACAGAAAGTATTTCAATAAAGTTTCCCGATGACGTCACAACACAAAATGTGAAATGTAAAAATGTCTTTGTGGACAAAATAACAATGGACATTTATTGCAACAATTCAAAACCTATACAAGGAATTGTCTTGAATGGATCGTCAGTTAACACATTATGTTCACTTTATATCAGCAAAGGTAACATTTTATAATAAAGCATAATTTTAAATAATTAATCCATCACTGTAGCGCTCGATGGAATCATCCTCAACAAATTTTAAATAATTAGTAAATATTTTTTTTTTCTTTAAATATAAAAGTGCATTTTTTACATGAAAATGAATGGTATTTAATAACCGAGACAAATAATAACTAATAATAAATTTGATTAATTTATTGACACATATTTTGATACATTTTTATTCCATTTTTATTCCATTTGTATATACAGAAAATATTAAAAAATTGTTCTGTATATATTTTTTTCATTATGAAACAACTACTTAAGACGAAATATATATCTTAAAAGGTTCTAATTTTTGTTAAGATTGAACTGAGTAAAGCTTTGAAATATAGTCCATAAAAATGTATAGCTTTTTTATAATAAAAGGGCTATGTCAACTGATATATTAATGTGCGCTTTTTACAGACGCCACGAAAATAGTTTGTACAAAGTAGTGGTGTAATTAAGGAAGAAAAGATCATTGAAATTAAAGCCACGATAACTCAAAATATAAAATTAACTCGTTTGTTTTAAAATTAATTTTATCCGCAGGGCGAAATGTTGCTTTAAAACAGCCAACAACTCAAACATCAAATTACTCTGACTCAATGTACCATGCAAGCAACGCTGTAGATGGTAATAGTAGTTGGGATAACGGCGGCTTTTGCACACATACTAATAGCGAGTCAGCTCCGACGTGGACGCTATCTTTTAAATCACTTGTTACAGTGTCAAGTTACACAATCTACAACCGAGTTCAAAGTAAGTAGAATGTTCATATGACACGAGGAATGCCTTAATAAATGTGAAAATGATATGGACGATATGTTGTATCTAGAACTATAAAAACTATAATTGTTTAACATATCCTCTTATTCTAACATTCTCGTCATTGATTCTTACTTCATAACCGCTCTTCCATAATCCAAAAAGAGTCCCTCATTCCCCAATGTCTTTAATTGATGACGAACCAAACAAGCTTACCTCCACAGCAACCACTAAAACAAAAAAAACTCACATACAGACTAACCCATTATACAGCATCTCTCACTATATAAGATCTCTCATAACAGAACCTCTCCTCTACCATCATAAATCTGATTTCTTTGCAAATCTCTCAAACGAGAACCCGTTTCCCAACCTAATGTATCAATTAATCTCCTTACCATCTCAAACTCCTAATCTTATCCATTAATCTCTCCGCACATGAACTACTATCTTTATTTTTATCTCTTGAACACGTTATACTCAAATCTCAAACAGAACAACCACCCCAACTCGGCCCTTCGAAATATAATTTTTTCTTTCTTTCAGGTTCATTGATTCCATACTAAGCTAATGTTTAGAACCAAATATTTTTCAAGGGATGTTATTCATTATATGTTATTCCAAAATCCAGTGTTTGATGATGTAAAAGTAATTACACTATTATAACATCAAGCCAGCTTCTCCCCTTATGATGATCCGAATTTCTATCGATCTTTTGTCATCAAAATTATATTCTTCACATCCTTACCCACACATTCCAATTTTATTATTTTTCACTCACATTTTGATAAATATCAAACATTTACGCCACAGCTTTATAACTCAGCTCTCCTCCTGAACCACTAGGGTTTCTGAAATTCCATAAAAATACCATATCGCCGGAAGCTTCCATTAAATTATTCCCTTTAAAAAATAAATACACTTTCAAAAAAAAACACAATAACTATCATTATTGTCTAATTATATACATTGTTATGCGTGACTTCAAAACAGCAAGCACTGTCTATTTCTACTCATTGTTATGACACCAAACATACAAGTGAATAATCTGTACTACGCTTATTTCATGCCCATGAACTTTATTTTAGTTTTTAAAAGCAAACCACTCATTCCATTTATCTTCCTTTGAGTATCTAAATATATTTATTTTAAAGTTATTTTCAGTTTTGGCTTAATATATTATTACCCTGATCAAAATGTAAAATGAATTTTATTATTTTCAAATGAATCTTCTTGGCTTTAATCTTAAAAATGTGTATGTCCTTTCTTTAAAAGAAATGTTCAAGCTAAATGTCAATTTAGCTTTCAAGATTTAGGTTCGCCATAAACACTTTACACTTTCTATTTGCCAGAAAGTAGAAAGTCGGAAAATTGGTTTTATGAATTTTAATTTTTACCATAAAAACAATTTCAAAATTTTGGTTTTCATTATTTTCGAGGACAGTGTTTCTTTCAGAAAATTTCCTGATAAGGGGGGGGGGGGCAAATCTCAGATTTTTTGGGGGAGGGGGCAGAGCCAGCGGCCAGATTAGTAGATGAGGGTAGGGAAAAGAGAGGGCACATATCCCCGTGGACCAGACTAATGAGGCAGCCAGAATGGACTCTGGCGCTATCTAATGGATGAAAAAATGGGTTTACATTTGAGGGTGGAAGTTAAAAGAATCGTGTCCCATGGCGCACAACTCTCTTGCTACGCCTCTCCCAGTGGCGGGGAATGGGGGCTGAATGGGTTGGCATACCATGGTGCTAACTTTTAGAATAACAGTTTTCTAATTATACTAATCTAATTATAATCTTATTGCATTACTGGAAAATGTTAAAGAATAAAATAAAATCTTAGTTTACTTTTGAAAATTTTATTGTTTTGATTTTTTTAGGTGTGACAGGACACTAATTTAGGGATGGGTAATGAATTGGTGACACTAATTGAAAGGAGGTAGGGGCATAAAAAGGTCTTTCTTTGCGTGACGTTATTTGCGAACAACCCTTAAATGTATTTTTAAAAGCATGAGGCTGTCATACAATTTTTAACTAAAACCAATTCAAAGGTTAAAAGTCATGCTTTTATTATAAAATATAATTTGAAAACAGATCGAACATGTTTGATACTTAGCGAAAACTGTATACAAATTATAGAACATGGTAAGTATGCACAACTATTTGAATTACATGCTATTTATGTCATGAAAGCTGAAACTTTTTTTTTAAAAATAGATAAAAATACCAATAAAACGAGAAGAAAAGGAATTAATACTAGGCTAATGATCGGGCGCGGCAAATTTTTGAAACAGTACGATATTTGTTATCGAATAGTGTAAGCCACTAGCAAAAAAAAGCCTAAACTATACGGATCATCTGATCATTTGAGCTTAGCGATATTTCAAAGATTCCAAAAATTATAAAAGGATCATGGCAGCAGTTATTTTTTTAAATTGTCTAAAATTGACAATTTGGCAATTTAAAAAAAAATTTTTTTGCGTTTTATTGTTGTTCACATTTTCCGGGGGGGTTGGGGGGGGGGGGAGAGAACTTTTCCCCGGGAGAGATGCCTGACAGAAAGACTGCTCAAGGGGCTGCACTATCTTCAATTGTCTCACCAAGACGGAAGTATGCAAACAAGATATGAAATGAAATTTTTATTAAAAAATTAATAGACCGATAGAGATTGATAAAAATATTTACATTTCAAAGGGACCAATATAGGTCACTTCTTTGAAGAGTGTTATACAGACGAATTGCGCCCACTGAAATAACAAAAAATTTCGTCCCAAGATGTAGAACACACCATTTTTATACAGTTTATAACTATAATTATAACTATATATATATATATATATATACACACATGTTTAAAGCATCAATACATATTAACATGCTTATCCGGCTAGGCCATTGGGAGTAGATAAATGATATTATAAATAATATTATTGTTTTCCCCCATCGTGTTACACGTCATGTAAATCATACTAACTGCGTTGATTGAGGTAAACTCTTAAACACGACAAAATCCAATTCAAATTCCTAACAGCTCTCAGACAACTGTCGTTTTTTTAATAGTTTTATTTTTAATTTACACATTTCAAAGTCAATGACTAACATTATTAAAGTGAAGTTGCAGAATATTGACGCGTTCTGACAAGAGAATAGATCACTGATTTTTTTTATAATATGTCCAGTATTATATATTCTTTAAAAGAGCTTTAACCACGCTTTTTTTTTCATTTTTAGATAAATAACAAAACCTCTTTTTTTAACTTGTCAGTGAGATTTCAAAATGGTCTGCCGTAAAAATCGGTGTTTTAAAAAAGATCACCTGTTTTTAAAGTATTAACATTGTTTTAACACTGAATTCCTGAGTAGCCAAAATCAAAATATTAATATTATTTATACATCGCTGCAAACTGTATTCGATTTCATACACTTTGAAATCAACAATGATATTGTATGACTGTATTATACAAAACTGTAATTGATTTAGTGAAATGAAACTATGTGTTTCTTAAGTAGATAAACAAGCTATTTTGAACGGCAAATGTTTGCATTAAAGTTCCTTTTAATTGCTTTAGCCAATCACAGAGAGCGAAATGGGAAGTAATAGTTTTTTTTTAATTTTTTTATTTGTTATGAATTTTTCTTTTAACCAATGGTATTTCGTTAAATTAAACTAGGGTCTTCCTGCCCTTACGATCGTTGTATATTTAACATTATGTAGCAATTTTCAGGGTATTAAATTGAGAAACGTTTTAAATATAAATATATGTATTTGGAAAATCGGTATGCATTTGGACACGTGGTCTTTAACATTATTTTTTTTAAAATAGTACTAGGTTAAATAAGTGGCGTAGCTAGGGTTGGTGTCAACCGGTGCGTTAAAATCATGGGGTCATCCCACTCAACGACTTCTAAAATGAATTTGATATTGTCAAAATAAGTCCACAGTAAAACAATGACAAGAAAAGAACAACAAATTAATTAAAGGCGAGGACTTAAACGTATTTAAAATCTCTATTTAAAAATTTATAGGAGCCAGAATGATCGATACATTGATCCTGGGCCCTCGAAATACAGAAGATAAAGAAATAACAACGTTAATTTATAGTTGTTTTTACATGAATTTTTCTGTATTAAAATGATTCCTTTCCTGATCTTCAAAGTTGCAAATCTTTTAATCACTTAATCAAATTCAGTACCCTTCACCGTATCTCTCTCAGCTGAAAGTAGAGCTAAATCAGAAGGCCTCAACTGCCCCATGGCGGATCGTGCATAGGTCTTAATAACCCTTAGTTTTGAAAAGCTCCGTCTGAGGCCACAGACACACAGATCGTAAGACCATTGAAGGCTTATAGAGAGTATTGGAAGAGATTCTAGGAAGTCCAATTCATTCTTGAACGTGTGAAATTTAATTTAAGCTGCCTTTAGTGCTTTCTAGGCTTAAGTATTTCTTTTGAAAGTTCATCCCCTGATAGCTCGTCATTGAAAGAGGTTAACTTTAAAACAAACACCAATAGCACTTCTTCACTTGCTGATAGTAGACTCTTAAGTTGAACAGCCCTAAAATACGTTCCTCGATCAATGATGATTTGATCTGGAGTTCAGAATGAAAGTGAGCAATGCACACTAGCATCTCCTTTCTCTTTTCTTCTCGCAGATAGAGTCCAGCATCTATAAATTGTTCTCTTTTCATTTTCTTCTTAATCCTTTGTGCTCTCGCTACCAAAATTCCATTTTAAAAGTACATTTTCAGTAGCATGTTCCACACAGTGGCAGCAAATCTCATGCAGAATCAATCTTAAGGCCTATAGGTTGGTCAAGAGTAAAGTCTTCAGTCTGCAGATACTTCTGTAAAGATTGACTTTCTCAAGTAAATCATCCCAAAGGTAAAGTTAGCAGATAAACATGAAACCACAGACATCACGTAAAAGACCTCGTGCTGTATAACAATCGTGCTCTAATAATAGAGGTGGTGCTAGTGACGAATTAATTTATTGACCCAGAAAATGGG